GTCGCGCCACCTGGATGTGGATCAGATAATATAACAGTGCGATCCAAAAATTTTTATCCGTCTAGCATCACGACCATCAGCTCACCTTGGCTGGTGGCCGTCAAGTTCAGGAGACGAGAGAAGTTAGCTGAATTTACCTAAGTGTGGCTTAACACAATGATTAATAGATAATAAATCCTTGATGTTATGACCTTACTCTCTTCCGTAAAAACAGGGAAGTCACATGAACCCCGCGAATATATCGGGAGTCTTTGAACAAGGGTTTCTGGTTAAGAAAGTAGAGTGTAAACTGTAGTGAGTAAATCTGTTAGGAGAAGATATAATACACGTAAGCTATGTTCCACGAAACCGGTCAATTGGTAGCCTTAAACTATACCCAGTATGCAACTCTTCCAAGTTGTGTTTAGATATACTTTTTCTGGTTCTGCACTTAAATCTATTTTTATAGCGCCACTTCTAAAATATTTAATGGAGTTTTTTGAAGTTAACTTACACGAATTATTCCTCCTTATCATCATCGTCAACATCATCAACTAAAAATACAGATCTTGCATCATAAAGGCCTTATCTTTGTGGAACACTTCTACAGTTCTACGGAATCCCCCATACGTGCATTACTTCAGGACCTTGTCAAGGCACTGGACATAATGCCCCACAGCTCACACATTGACTCCAATTCCGGTTTAATAACCGTATACCAAAGTCAATTACGTGAGTTCAAACTAGCGGATTAAAATGTCTTGAAGAGCAACAATACCCATAGTAGCCATTGATTGTCTTTCCAGAAACTTATTTCATAAGTTTTTCTACTTGAAGGATCCCAGTAAACAGTGTAAATGCATCATATGTGGAGGTGATTCAAAAAAATTTCGAAAAAGCTTAATAACAATGGAAAAAAGACACTGTAACAGTAAATAAATCTTCAAAATCCATAGCTCCGCAATCTTCGACATTTACTAATGATCACATTGATTTTACTGGACTCACATACTTGAAGGCGCTTGTTCATTCATCCGCACGAGATCAAGAGTGGGTAAGCCGTGATACACACCCCTTTTAGCAACTATTCAAATTAGATCAAACATTCCTTTGGCATACTGACAGCGTTATTTGAGAATAAATTATTATTATTATTATTATATATTTTCGAACTCCTTCATTCCTGAATTCTGATTTGACTGGGTTGGCAAACTTCGACTATAAAGGTGTTACTGGTTGATGCGTCAAACTCCGAGTGCTTGTGACATGTTTAACACAACGGATCGTTACCCATATCTTTTGTTGACAGAAAGTTCGGATACTAGCAAGAGTCATCCCAGAGAATAAACCAAGGAATAATGAGTTCTCTATTTCGTATGAATACTATGTGGGATGCTATCTAGTTTTTTTAGAAGCTTTTTAAGGTCTACATCTTCCGATGTCTGATAACCCACAATACTGTTAGCTCTTCTCAAAAATGATATAACTTTTCTGGAACAAGATCAAGTATGGGGATCAAATAGGGTTATACGTTCAATAAATAAGTCATTTAAAGTACGACCATACGTCATCAGACACTTCCCGCTGGATTAGAAGAGAACAGCAAGTGACTACATAATGTTCGGGGTGAAACTTACCAGATGTCACCCAGACAAATCTTTACCTGAAGCCAACTACTCAATCTAACACGGAAACACTCAACGGAAAGCGAGCCTGCTCCGTCATATTTCAAGCACCATTTCAGCTGACTACTGTGCCTTGAATGGTAAACTGGGAAATGCGACACGACTATCAGGGTTGTTATCTAGGTTTGCTACCTTTCGTCTGGAATGACGTTAAACCACAACCAGTGACAGAGACATTCTTGAGCTTATTTCTTATACCTGACGAGTTTCTCTCAGTTAAAGTCGGTTAATTACGTGTTATTACTTCTAATTTCTATTTGTTGATTAAAAAGCTTATGTATTTCTCTTAAGCAAGGGCGATAGCTTAGAACTCCAAAATGACCTGGAGAGATTATCTAAATGGTCCCAAACCTGGCAATTGCCGACAAATACTTCCAAGTGTATTGTGATGCATATTGGCCACCAGGGTAGAGATACATACACGATGAATAATACTGAGCTACCTATTGTCCAGACACGCAATGACTTGGGAGTTATCGTTAGTCAAGACTTAAAGACTACTGCACACTGCCGTGCAATAGCTGCCAAAGTTTCTAGAACTTTATGGTTCATACGCAGGGCTTTTAGTCATCTTGACGCTAAAACGTTTCTGACTTTGTATACAGTGTTCGTGCGTCCTAAACTTGAGTACTGCATACAAGCAGCTAGCCCCTGCCTGAAAAAAGACAGTGAACTCTTGGAAATGGTTCAGATTAACAGCAACTAAGCTGATCCCCGGAATAGCGAAGCTCCAGTATGGTAATAGACTGACCAAGCTAAACCTAATCCCGCTCTCATATAAAAGAATCAGAGGCGACTTGATTACAGTTTTCAAATTGCTTAGTGATAAGTTTGCACCTGATATGCCCTCATTTTTCTTGTCTTCCAAAACAGAAAATCTACGAGGACACTCCAAAAAAGTTCACAAGCCCAGAACGAATTACTTGTCAGCTGACTACCGACTTTCCCATGGAATCATCAACGAGTGGAATTCATTACCTCAGCACGTGGTTGAGGCCCCATCCAACGACTCCTTCAAAAGAAAGTTGGATCAGCTGAGAGACCATCATTGCCAGGACTAACACAGGCCATCAAGCCTCTTGTCCTTTCCAAACTGAAATCGAAACTGAAACTAACACTTCTCTCCAATAATTTATATTCTGACTTACGAATCTGAATACTGAAATCAAATATTCGTTTGCTGAATAAAGTGATAGATGCTGACTTCAGAAGCCTTGATACCCTGAGATGAAAGTGTTCATTGAAACGGAAAATCTGGCTTATCACAAAAATATTTGATTCAACCTTCACTGTTTAACCTTCATATGAACCGCGGCGTTTCAATTTCTTAGCTAGTGTGATATGAGGACTTTCTGTCCGTTTCAGTTGTACACAAATAAAACTGTTGTATGTTTGGATTTCTGTTTCATTGAACTGTCTGCTTACACCTCGTTATATAATATAACGTTATATATATAATATCACATCTCGTACGAGATGTGAGCAGAGTATGCATATATGTATACTCAACTAGATATCTGGTAGGGTTGATTCACCCTCGTGTCAGTGTCAATGACACAAAATATCTAGCGAATTAAACAGCCTTCACTTCAAGAGACAACTTATATAGACCGAGGTTCTCCCGGGCATTTGAGTTGAGTCATACTGCAATCAAAGGCACTGTGCGCACTGCTTTATAAAATAATGGGGAAATACGCCAAAATATTTGCTTTTTCGCTTATGTAGTGAAAGTAATGCACTTTGCTCTTTATATCGCTCAGTTTTAAATCTCGCTGAATTGTCTGCTTTTCGATCGCATAACTATATACCAAACTATCCACTTTTTGCCTGAATACACATCAAATTGTCTACTTTTCGCTTTAATACACGTTTCGAGGTCAAGTAAGGAGATAAATATGCGGGACAATGATATAGATACCATTGAAGCTGAGTTGTATTTCAAATATGGCCATCTACCAGTCTAAAATACCAAGCACAGACCTATATACTGAAATCAGAAATTGCGCTCTGCTCACAACCGAGACTATTATGCACCTGGTATGCAAAAGTATACAGCATCTCCAACAGTCTTCATGATCTCATGAGCAAAACAATGTCTGAAATAGTCACCTCCATAGAAATATCGATCACTTTGCTATTCAAATCAGGCTGAAAGGTCGTGCTAGGATAGCCTTTAATAACTAGATTTAAAATACAATGTTTTCAGTAGTAAGACGGAAGAAATATATGGCTTTTCTATGGTTGAAAATCTCAACTTATTCTGTAAAAATAAACTGGTTTTCCGGAGCCACCTTATCAACCCTGGTTTTGGTCAGCAGTATGTAACGAAATCCCCAAAAAGGTATGGCCAAGAACAGTTTTAGTGCTTGAGTAAAGGATGTCAGTCACCTTGTCACTAGAATCGGTTGGTTCGCATTTGAAAACGAGTATGTACATCCGCTGATATGCTACGCCTTGGTCCTAGTCTTTTCGGGAAAACCTTGTGTGCCTCGCTGCTGCCGTATGATAGCTTACGCACTGGAAACGCGAAATACGTAAACTATGTATACCAAGATGGAGGGGTCAGCTTTCTGAAGAGGGCGAAGTGTATTGACAAAGGCTTTTTTGATTTAGAAGCTGTCGTGCTTGATGTCCAGTGGTTTCTGTAATAGGCACAGACGGCTTGAATGGGTCGAATCTTTTAACTGGGCGACTTTAAAGTTTTGTTGTGTTAACACTTAATACCAAGTTCATATAACTTCCATAAATTGAACGACTCATCTACTGTTATTTACGTCAAAAACAATGGCAGCTAGAATGAAACAATCTGCTTTTCCGTTCTAGATCCACATTTTCATATCCTTCATGTCGTAATTATCTCGTATTATGTTCGTGTATGAGTTGCGTATATTAAGCCATAAGAAGGTTAGGTTGGAAATGTAACTTATCTCTGCTGGTGGGCATTATGGTTAAAAGACACTCGATCTCTGACCAATGAGTTTCATTTTTTAGTCCAGTTTGACACACTTGTTGTTCAAAGTCAAGTACATTAGATACTGAGCTACACTAAAATTTTAGAAATTATGCTTTTGACGGTATATATGACAGTTGAGGTCCCCAAGCTAACAGATTTCGAACATCGCCATCTGTAAGTACAATCATTAAATCCTAAACACATAGATTCTAAGCATTGACTGGTGATTCTTGAGATGCTTCCATAAAATGTATGTACTTGTATTTCTTTATACTTTGTTTTATTCAGATTCATTTTGTGATGAAATCCTCAATTTATAAATTCAGAACTTATCTTTAGTCATTCAATGTAATCCGTCAAACAATGAGCATGCTCTTGTAATAATGGAATTCGCACATACTATTTTCAGAGTAGCACTATCTGGGGATCCCACTATGTTACTCCAAATTTTATCTGGGGATCCAGGTTTGGCCAACCTCCCTGACTTTGATGTAAGTCGGGAAATTCGTCTTTATTTAACAGGGTAATATGCCACTTCATTTTGCTGCTATGTCCGGTTCATGGGAGTGTGTTCAAATATGCATCTCTGCTCTACAAGCTCGAAAGGATCTTGACTGCGCAACGGAAGTTCGACGTAAAAATTTTATGGTAAGTTAGTAAACTAAAAGCATCTTTCAAAGGGTAAAGATGCTCTTACCATTTCCATTGAGAAAAGTGACTATGAGTCATTTAATCTACTAATAAGTGCAGGAGCAGAAACAGATTATCGGTGTATGGATGATGTGCCTCCTCTGGTGGCTGCTTTAAGTCAGGATAACGTGAAGGTGTGTTCATATTATACTACAACATATCGAAACCATGTTAGTTAACTGCTAACGTCCTGGATGCACTGGACATAAATTTTTTTCGTCTACGCCGGGATCGCTATTGGATTTTAGCATTGCATACTGACCTTTCAATATCTTTAGCTTATTTCAAGCTCCTAAAGGCTCATGCTGTCCCATACATGCAAAGTGAATTTGAGGAAATCTGTGCTATTGTTCTCGAAGTAAGTCTCATTAATTGATCTAATTTTTATGCATTGCCAAATTATTGTCAGTAATTGCTGGACCTCGCTGTTTTGATGGTCACTTTTCATTTATTCATCTCTAGACGCTCGTAGACGTTTACAGTAGGATAGTTTTGACAGATTCTAGTCACAAAGGACCAACAACTTAAATTTCATTCCAATAGCAATATTATGTTACATTACCCCTGTATTTCGGACCTGTTTTCTTTTTGAGTATGAGTAAGCTCTTGCACAGTTATTAAGTTACAAGCTCGGTGCATTTTAAGGATTTATTTAAGCTGACTTGCGCAACATACACTGTCAAGTACGCCTCTTGTTTGTGTTACCAGCCAATAATATTATGCCTAAATAAAATACAAAGATGATACTTAGTCTTTGAAAACCGAGATTCAAACTATTAAACAGTACTTTATTGGGTACTGGTATAATAGGAAAGAGAATACATAAAACAAGAAAACAATATTGAGTTGACAACATTAAGTACAGTGTCCTTTCCAAATGAAACAATTATGAAGTTCAATACAAATAGATGTATAAAGTCTTCAAGCATATTGTATAATTTAATTGCAATCGTTATGTAAATTTAAATGAATTATTGCTTTATTTGTTATTTATTATTGACATGTAGAAAGAACCATCAATAATAGGGATTGAAGAATTTTTGATTTACTTGGGGTCAGATGCTGTGGATCGTTGGTCTATTCATCAAGAAGAAGTATCTCTCTGTTTAATGCGTATTTCATCCTACTTTTTAAGAAAAGTCGTTCCATTTAATCAAAATTTCGATTGTATTTATCAATTGCAAAAATTAGGATTATACACACCCCCATCATCTGCTAGAACTTGGTTGCAAGTTCTGTCTCAATGGGGATTTCCAAAGATTTGTATTGAACGACCGAACATCCAAAAACAATTGATTTGGAATTTAGCGGATATCGATAGGAGTCCAAAAAATACAGTTTCCGACAGGTGTTTGCTACCGCTTGTACTATATTTCGCTGTCTTAGCCTTACGTTTCCCACATCCAGATTGGATCGATTGGTGGCGTGAAGTTTGCACCAAGGCGAACTTTAATGAGCATGAATATAACCTAGGAACACTTCTGGAATTACACAGTATAAGGCAGTCAAAATCTGTCTTTGATTTCTTTTGGCATAATATATTCACTTTTGCTATTTCACGTGCTGTATTGTATACTAATTTAAAACTGTGTTCCTTAAATGATACTCAATGGTCTATGGACAAATTTTTAAATCATGCTTATTGCGAATGTCAATTATTACAACCACTTCCTCCAGGGAATCATGAAAAATTAATTTACCTCCTTTCTTACTTTCCAGCATCGAACAGTATTCCTGGACATGAAATTTTTATGTCTATTGTTTGCCAGCATTTCTTACCATTGATATCTGATGATGATATTGAATGTAATAGTAACTGCTCGAAAATTAATTCCAATGTATTGATGACTGCTACAGTTCATGTGCTTCATCAATATTCTTTATTAAATCTAATTGTAAACTTCTCCGCTAAATTAGGTCTGAAATTCCTAAGCAATATTCAAGACTGGCCACGTTCAATATCAACTGGTTACAAAATCAAGCTGTTCAATATTTTAATTGCATGTTATGTTGAGTCTAGTCGATATACCAAAGTACCTAGAAATATAACCGAGATATTGTCATTGAGGCAGATGGGTTGCGACCATTCTAGTTATTTGAATAATATAGTGAATGACTGGCTGAGTAATTGGTTGTCTGAGCCGAAACGTCTCTCACTATGGTCTAAATTTACAATACGCACTTGTCTCAGACGTTCTACGCAACATTGTTCTTTCCCTAAACAACCTGTAAATGAACTCATTAAGAGTTTACCGCTGGCCCCGATGCTCCAGGAGTACCTTCTGGATAACGAGTATCTAAAGTGATCTTGATTTTGGTTATTTCTGTAAAATTTTGATATATTTTATGACTATATTCATTCACAACACAAAAATCAATGCGATCTTGAGTAAATACACTTGTTACAACGAATATTGGTTGTTTTATATCATGCTAAATGGGTGAGAGTTGAGAATCTACATCAACAATGCTTCAAAAACTTGTTACGATAATATCAATCGGATGTGTTTTACAGACAGATTAGTAGTGAATGGAACGCTGGACAGTTGCTCAATTTCGTGGATTGGTTGTAGTTGGACACTGCCAGCGTTGGATGTCGACTCAGTGGTCTAGAGGTTAAGCGCTTGCGTGCGCGACTGGCAGGTCCTGGGTTTGAATCTCGCGAGGCGGGATCGTGGATGCGCACTGCTGATGAGCCCCACAATACGATGAAACGGCCGTCTAATGCTTCCATGGTGGTCTAGCTTCAATTGACTCATGAATTCAACTATAAAATTACTAAAATCTCCCTAAAACCCCTTCTGCAATACTTATTCCCTAATTGATGAGACACTCCAATCCCCGGATAGCTGGGACATGGACGGTAATGGGGAGACGAAATCCTTGGTGCGATAGTAATACATCAACATCCAAAAGAAAGCATCAAACGTTGTATGCCTATCCACCAATCCCTGGGAACGCTTGGTGCAATGCCAACAACCATATCAGAAAAGATAAATGTCTCGAAAACGATTGGTTTGAAAATCTACGCTTGAGAGACGCCACAGAATTTAAGAGATGTGGTTCAAAAAACATTTTTAGAAAATAATACATACATGTACATAGTTTATTCTACTTCGTCATCTAAATCATCAGCTTCTTCTAAAGCCTGTTTGGCGAATGTCTCCGCCTCATCAAAGAGTTTGCGAGGAACAGGTTGATGTATACCCTTTGTATCTAAGCGTATGTTTATGTTAGCAGATCGATAGACTTACTTGCACCAACCCAACTAAGATCCAGTTCAAAATTTTTATCCTTGATTTCATCATGGACGGTATAAATTCTACAAAAACAAAACCGTTACGACGACTGATTCAACACAATAAGACAGGTTAAAGTGTGTAATCATTACCACTTATTTCAATGATATTAATGACCTCGATAATTCTTGTCACCACTGTGCCTTTTTAGTTTAAAACGTAAATCATGGTATTACTGTATTGGTTTACCACATCATCAGTTCTACTCCAGAAATAATAGCAGTAATACCAGAAGACTTATGGTCGTTTACAACTTATTCATGACATTAATCGGCAAGGCTTAAGGAAGCTCGCCGTGATAGTTACGGATAGTACCATAAGCAGATGTTAGTAAGACCTGCGGCAAGCCCTTTCCAACTCTGTAGACATGTCCATCTTTTTATGGGCAGCTGTCGAATTAATGTCACTATCTCTAATTACTTCAATAATTCAGAAATGTAGTCAGTCATCCATATTTTCATCTGGGGATGATTGCGAGTATCATTTATCTGTTTTTACTTATTTTTCGGCTGTAAATGCGTGGCTAGGGAAGGGTCGAACGAAATTCGCACGCTATGTCGATGAAGCCTCCAAATGCCCTGGTACGGCCGAGAGTGGGGAGAGTACGCTTTCCCTCTCCAAATGCTCTCACACGGTCACGCGTATATAGCCTCTGTCAGGGAAGTCCTACTCACTGACTTCTCGTGGCATTCCTGTTGTTTACGAAATTGAGAGGACGAAAAGCGAATGTCCGGAGCTTTAACCGGGTTGGTGGACAAGGCGAGTCCATCTAGGGGAGTTGGTAAACCCTGATTCCAAACCAATCGCGCACATGGGCTGGCTCCAGTATCCTGAAGGAACAAATGGTGAATGAAGCAATCTTTGATCACCGGCTACCATGGGACTGCATCTCCTCACGATGCTCCACTGCCTTGTGGATCAGACCTTTCGGTCAAAGGCTCCGGGTGTGGGCCTCTAAGAAAACCACCTGCTTCAGTTCGGGCACCTGGGCAGTATCACAGCCCTCACACAAATGAAATAAGATTTGTGCGGCACATACATATCTGGTCCCTCTTTGTACCAATATTTATGTGTTTAAATAAATAAATAAATGTCGATGAAACCAAAAACTATAAAAGGATTCGCTGTGTATTTTCAAGTCTTTCAACTGAGCTTCGATTTCGTCTTCTACAAATAACCGAATTTGAGCAAACAAACTCTAATCTCTGTATCTGAAAGTTGCATACGTTTGTCTCTTCTTTAGTCAAAGAAAGCGAAACAAATTTAGTGGTCCTTTCTACTTTTTGTCAGTCTTTAACCCTTTCGTATTGCATTTTAAATATATATTTGAAGTTAAATAGGAATAATATATTTGTAAAATCTCAGCGAATGAATTTTAATTAAATCCAACGTTTCGCCTGGCAAGCCTGGTCCAAGCTTTTTCAAGGAATTAATTCCTTACATTTCTTACATCAACTCGGCGCTCAAATACTGTGAAACTATTCGCTCTAATTTAGACGAGAATTCTTATATATTTGAAGTGATCATACGTTATTATTGATTATTATTTAGCGAACAGTCTGTGCGCTATCTCAAACAGTAAGACAAGTTTTTGGTCAGAATATGTAGGTAAGGTCTCTCAAAAAACAATTATAGGCTGGTACTACACACTTCCTTTAGAGCAGCTGTCGCACAGTCAAAAGGCACAAGCCAGTAACACAGAAACCTTCTGGAGTCACATATATTGACGTACTTTACATTCTGCTTGACTACCAACAGAGTGGACTTTGTTTGTTGGGTGCACATTTACTAATACTTAGATGTTTCGAACAATTACACGTGCGTAAATGTACCAGTAAACTCAATGGTTTCATGAATATGAAAGTCGTGACGACCTACATTTTGGCTGCTTCCTTGATCAATTCTTCTGGGGACAGATCATTCATCTTCAGTTTTTCTATTTCAGTTGTTGCATTTTGTTTGGCTTTTCCGATGGCACAACCGAAATAAGCCTTTTATGTAAAGAAAGTAAAGATAACAATGCACAATAATATTGTATAATAAATGGATTCCAGAAAATAAAGAAAATTCATTGTATTGATAATAAGTAGCTAAAGCAAAATTTATTATACTTAAGCGAAACCACTAGGGCATCTACTGAGTGATCAGATGTTTTGTATGACAACGTTTAGGTTAATAATAATAGTTGACGAATAATGACCAACGTCATACCGAAGTAATAATTGAAATTCATGGAAAAGAATTTGGCAAATTATACATGTATCAGACAAGTAGACTACTTAGAGATCTTAGTTTGAAGTGCCGAGGTTAAAAATTCTTAAATAATCTGTACAACATCATAATTTAATTCCCAAACTTGAGAGGAAGAATCGAGTTTTGATATATCCTTTTATTTGGGGGCTTCCCAACCTGACGATTATAGACCTCTTGAGAGGAGTAATCAAATGAAATGGTCAGTCAACACCAAAGTAAGACCTAGCATGAGTATCGACCGGACAAAATTGCCACATCTGACAACAGTGCAGTGAGAGGAAATAAAAGAAATCGAAAGCATCTTGTGAGTAATAGTTTAGAAACGAATGTACTTCAAAACATGAGATTAACTTCAAATGGAATGACCGGAATTTCGCAATGACAATCAGGATCAATAGGACTTCCGAAAACTTCATAATAAAACTGTTAAGCAGTTTAGAACTAGTGACGGAAGTACGGATTTGATAAGCATTTATCTGAAATTACCTCAAATATAGTCACACTGAAGAAAAAGAGCCTCATCATATTTATTCTTAACTAATATTTGACTCCTGAGCTTTGTATTACTCACTCTGTGTTAACACCACGTTGTAGCAAACAATACACTATATTTACTTCACTGTGTTCAGAGGATAGAACTAGTTAAATAGTATTCAAAAATGATTTGATGCTAATACATGAATATATATTAGATTCGCTGTAAATACTGTTGTCACAAATATGAAGTTATATCAAATGACTTAACGTTAATATATTAACATTGTATAATAACATTACTCAAGTAACTACTATACCTCAGACTAAAACGGCGATGCACAAGAAAATTACGATACAATATTTGCGGAAAGACTTACATAAGACAGCCCAGAAGGCTCTATCACGAATAAATGAGGACCATCGTTTTCATAGGAACCAAGCAAAACTGATACACCGAATGGTCTGACCGCACTATAAAGTGTATGAGCGTGCATGTACATAGCCAGTCGTTCCGTCAGAGACTACAGAAAATATAGCAAACGGGAAGCATACATAGAGAGGTATACGGCTTCCAAAGCTATTGCGATAATTTGCGCATTCTTCTCTGGCTGCCTCAACGATTGCCTTAGCGTCAGTTTGAAATCCCATCACCACCTAGAATTTATGTGCATTACACCTAACAAGTTACCATCCCGATATGGTCATCAATATTATAAATCCGTTTAACACAACCGGGCTCGTAAAGTTTTGATGTGACAATATTCTCCACAGCAAAAACTACACAGTCTTTACCTTGAATAGCAATGGCTGTACTAAAAGCATGGATAAAATCATAACGTCATTCCTTACCCGCTATTTTCTACCGCCTTACAGGCATACTCTATCTGGAAAACATTTCCACCTCGAGAGAACTGAGATGCAGTAAGGTCATACTAAGAAATAATTTTAAAGAATGAGAAACAAACCCCACTGCCAATAGAAGACATGATTAAGCCAGTACAATTCCGCGACAAACGACCTTTCTCAAGGGAATGTCCGAAGCTCAATATTTTGGCGACGAGTTTGTGTATCCCAGTAGATTTATTAGTACTATCATTTTGATGTTAAGCAGAAGTTATGTGATTTTTGGTAGCTACAAGTAAAGTTTTTCTAATTTTTCTTTGTGATATGTGCTTCAGTATTTTGTTGAGTTACTCTCTTTTCAATCTCATTAACTCTTTTACCAAAAATTTCTATATCAGCGGACATTAAAGTGGCTGGGGTCAGTTGCTAATTCTCCATCAAGTAATTCCATGTTGAGTGGTGTTTATTACAATATGAAGAGTGAAGAGTTCAAAAATAATAAAAAGTAACGTGAACTGAAGTGAAGATGAGCATTAAATGAACGGTAGGTTTATGGGGCAGATAATTTAAAAGAAGAGATATTAGCATGCAACATTGGAGAAAGCTGTTTACCAGCTGTTTTGTTGGAATAGTTTTCACCGTTTTGAATATCAGAGATCATCATAAGTGTCTCTATCTCTTCTCTGTAGATCATCATAAACTTCACTAGCTTTCCCAGCATATCTCTATAAGATGCGTATCTGAAAACCTCAGTACTTAAGCCTCACTCTGCATTTTCCCAAAGATTTACATCCGTTGTCAAGACTTAGTTATCGTTTTCGACATTAGGAACAGTTAATGATCAGTACGCCAAACTTTCCTGTGGAATTGCGACGTAGGCTTTGTTCACATCACCTATGTAACTGGCACTAGTTTCTAAGGTACCTGTAAGCAGCAAACCAAGATCTCACTATACGGAGGTAATTGGAAAGGGTTGGTGAGGAAGGATGTAAGATGACCGTTGTGTGGAAGAAGTTCTTCACTATAGAATATTTGAACAGATGAAATTTCCGCCAATTGTCTTTCACCAAATTCTCCGTTGAGGAACCGATTGAACGACTCCAGAAGTTGTGGAATATAAAATGTGTGAGGATCAGTAGAGTTTATTTTTAAAACGCTGAAATGAAAGCGAAAAAATTAACTTCGACTGGAGGTGAAAACCAGAACTGACGGGCAACGAAACAGGATGGTCATCTATCAATCGATAAATTATAAACACCGATAGCAAGCTCAATACAAATTGCTCACCAACAGCGTTAACTACGATATCTGAAAACGATAATGACAGTAATCAGATCTATTCAACTTAATATTTTCCATAACAGTTAGCCACATCTGCGAACTGAAAGAACATCTAACGATATATATATATATATATATATATATATATATATATATATATATATAATCTTATTGCTTTACAGTGCTTGCCAGTATTTACAAACAGCTTACGGTTGTATCAGGTTGTCTAGCAGTTCCGTGTTAATTGGGGGGTTAGAAGCTGATAATCTACTTTACTAAGCCGTACTGAGTCTCATGGAAGCTTTTGCTTTCATTGTTGTGCTAACCTATTTAGTTACTGACATGGTACCGTTATGATAAGATGGATATCGACACAGCACATCCCTTGGACTACTCCATAGAATCCGAAAAACCATCCACCGTGGTTCAATGAGAAAATCATCGCCTTCCGTAATGAGAGGAAAAGAACGTAGAAGAGATTTTTGTTACAGGGTACTGATGAGAGGAAACCCTAACATCAGCAAGCTCGAAATATTGGTGACTGGACCATCCTCAAGTCCAGAAGACTGTATAAAGAAGAGATTGTTGAGGATTATACTGAATAGCCCAAACTTTTATGGTTGTACATGGAAAAGACCGAAAGAAAAGGTAACATTGTGGCGACAATACGAGAACTTAGTGTTAGGTCGATAGTGGAGGACGACTACAGTAAGACACAAGTATCCCTAAACTACTTATGTAATGTTGTAGTGAGCGCAAAGTCAAGTGGGGAGGACCAATTTATTATTGGATGCAAATTTACAGAGTTCTTTCTTAGAATGTGAAACCCACACAATAAATACTTCATTTGTGAATCTTTCCTCAGTTGTCCCAAACTTCATCGTTTCTTCGTTGCCATTAAAATAAAATTTGTTTACATTCCTGTTCTCTTATTCGATCTCCTCGATCTTCTGCTGCCCGGCATCCACCTTCGGCCGGTGTGACATTCTAGAAGAATATACAACAATTTATATACCACAGAGATGTTCCACTTTGGTCTATAGAACCTTTAACGCATACACACACTAAAACTGTGACCATTATATAAGTTAATGTCTTTGGTTAGCTAAATAAGCTTGATATAAGAAAATTTGTGGGACTCGATGAAATCCTTTCTAGATTACTAAAAAATAAGCGAATTTCGTAGCAGACTCCCTAAGCATATGTTTTCATCCATCTGCAACCCAGTGTCAACTACTAAAAGACTGGACGACCGCCATAGAAAGTCCTGTCTTCAAAACAGGTATGAGATATACAACTGATAATTACTGACCTGTAAGCCTAACCAGCGTAGTTTTTTAAAATTTAAGACAAGATTATTTGGAATTTGATTGATTATTTCAACGAAAACCGGATTCTTTCTGAAAAGCGGCATGGCTTTAGAGGTTATTCATGTCTCACTTACTCATTAGTAGCCCGTATAAGTTTGTGTGGTCTTAAAGATCAGAAGTTACTTATAGACCCAGTCTATATTGACTTTGATAAGTCTTTTGACAAAGTTCCACACAACCAGTTGTTATCTAGTTTAAGTGGTATTGCGATTGGAAGCAATTTTTTTACCTGGATAAAAAAACCAAGTTGGACGTCAACAAAGATTATGGATGAACTAAAAGTTGTCTAGCCGGGAAAGTGAGCTTGGAGAAATAATAATAACAATATATTTCTGCATTAGCAGAAATGCTGAAGGATACAGTATTAAAACTAGTGCTGTTCGTTCTAGGTGTGAATGACCTTAGTTTCCTATTGTAGATGGCGTCGAGTCTTGATGGACTATGATCACCACTACACTAAGTTTACGCGCCCAGAAACGACTTGGTCTCTTTGATAACTCGCAAAGCAGAAGGTTGTATATATATATATATATATATATATATATATATATATATAATGCATTAAACAAATCAAGGTAGCTTATTTGTTAGTGCCAAAGTAATCAAGGCTGTTAAAATGACTGACTTTCAATCAAAGTACCAGCTGAAATGAAGAATAAGTTATCTATTTCTGCCACTTCAGTATCTACATAACAAACCCTGTATAATCTGTAAAATATCTTTATTTCTCGTAATGCCAGTTAACATAGTTAACGAATTAGACGATGAAACCTTTCTGAGCTCCTGAAGAATCAAACTAAGTCATTGACCACCTTTATTTCATCGTATGCAACCAATAATCACAATGTGGTAGATAAAGCTTAAGCATTGTACTCAGTTTTTCCTATGTCATCGCATCTTCTCAACTGAATCCAAATTAATCTTTCACAGCTTAAAACAAAGAATCCTAGTTTTCAAATCCTTTCTTGGACATAGGGGATCTAATTTATATACCATGTAATCTAAATAAGATATGAAACTAATTTGTTCTCTAATCTTGTGTGAGATGTATTCAAATCTTAAGAAGGATTATAGATGCCTAATGGTATAATATGAAAAATAAGTGTTCACATAATAAGTTACTGAATTATTATCGCCAGGTACAACTAAATTCAGTTCATATAAATCTGACTGTTAATGGGATTGTAAATCAATGATTTAAAACATGGTATGTTCATAAATCATTTTGATTTGTTTTAAAAGTCAAATAATCCCTTATCACTAGTCTTTGGTTTCTCACTTCGCATTTTTTCTCTTGTGTTCAAGTTGTGGCGTGGATTTAGCCTAGAGTTAAAAGAAGCTGATAAAAAATCGGTTCAAGAGTTCATTTGGTAAGAATTATCACTAATACCCAGTTTCGATGATAATACATTCCTCCTGTTCTACACTTTCTTACTCTCCTTTATCAATCTTTTTATATTGTATGAAGTAGATGTTGAAGACAGCTTTCTGAATAACAACAAAAGCTCAACAGTTAAACCAGATAGCATAGAGAACAAAATACTACTAAAAAACAGGAGGAAAATAGCTGTTGTAAGGTCCATTTTGAAGGCTTTGTGTGTAAAAATCCCTCCATGCATACATTTGCAACTTCTTCTTATTGGTTTCTTTAGTTTTACATTTTGTTAGTCTTTTTGATACCATTTGAGATGATACTATTTTTTTTCATTATAGTTTTCTCATTTTTCTTTCGCTTTCACTGAGTTTCTATTTTTCTTCCGGACCTGTGTTTAGGTTGGCAGCAGCCATACTGTTTGTTCCCCCTTTGATTGTGTTGCTTGAGTTGACTGGGATCGTGCATTTTGATTGTGAACTGATGCACTTTTTCAGAATCTGAATTACTTTGTGTTATAAAGCAAAAAGCTATTATCTTTTGAACGGATTTTTACTTGATCTCTCCACTCTATTTTCTGGTGCACTCGGTAATTTTCTGATATTCCTTATCAATTTGTCTATTTATTGTAATTTAGATCGATTATTGAAGGAACAATTATTGGTTGAATAACTGAGCGGTAATATTTGTTTAGGTAATAATGTACATTTGTATTTATAATGAAGTTTAGAACCGTTATTTCCCCAAATCCCCTTGTTTTAATTTCAATTGGGGAATATCCCGTATCTAACATCCGAGAAAGTTATTTTTCAGCCAAACCTTAGTGTTGTATCCCGAAAAGAATTGTGAATGGTAACTTTTGATGACTATTTATGGACCAATATTATATGTATATTTCCTATTGTATAATTGTTAATAACTAAACTATTCATATTCGTGTCCCTTTCATTATAAGCTTTATGTTGACCTATAGACTATTATTATACGATGTACCATTCTTCAGTTATCCCTAGTCCATTAATTACTGTTCCCCCTATTCACAGCCACATTTGGCTAAATCTTATACAAATGTTATTTTCTATTTTATGATACGATGTGGTCAGTTTGTTTGGTATATAAACTTAGTATGTTTGAGAATAATGATTCATATTGTAGAGGCTGTTATTGGTGTTCTGGACTTAACTGACTTGGCTTGGCAGAAAGCAGGACTGATAAGTACTCAAGACTGCTCATACGGTTTTCGTGTGTCATTGGATCCGGTCGATAAATACGCTGCTCTCTAATTGGGCGTTGATATATCAAACAGGGCACGTACATACTCACACGTTATAACACTTAGTTTGAACCTTACAGCTGTATATTTAACAGCGAAAACAAAGAAACATCTACAAATTTAGTAAAATAGCTCATTATTTATACCCTTTTAAGAAAATTTATTAACCACTTTGTCAAATTTCGGAAAAAGAACCCTTCTTTTTAATTCATTACAGAAATACTTTATTAGTAAACGGAAGATATCAAAATCAAAGAAAAGAAGTTCATCTTTCGTTCGCCCAAATATATATTGTTTATCAGAAGGAGTTTTTGTGGAGATTTCAGTATTTTCATAGTTGAAATCATGAGTCAATTGAGGCTAGACCACCAGGGAAAACTTGGAAGCACTGCTTTAAGGTCATTTCGTCCTATTGTGGGACTCCTTAGCAGTGCGTATTCACAACCTTGCCTCGTGAGATTCGAACTTAGGACCTACCAGTCTCGCGCCAGAGCACTTAACCGATAGACCACTGGGCCGGCACCCCATGGTGTTTATGTCTAACTCCGATCGAATGACGGCTCAGTGGTCTATCGGTTAAGTGCTCTGGCGTGAGACTGGTAGGTCTTGAGTTCGAATCTTGAGAGCGGTATCATGGATTCATACTGCTGAGAAGTCCCACAATAGGATGAAACGGCCTTCCAGTTCCTCCAGGTTTTCCCTGGTGGTCTAGCTTCAATTGACTCACGCTCTCAACTATATATTAATTATGGCAACAAAAATATCAAAAATCAATAAACGAAATGTACTCCAGATTCAAAAAACAACCTCAAATTTCAAAATAACTAATTGACAAGTCTAATAACATTCAGTTGCTTTTGTTGTTATGCTTGTTATTATTGTTTACAATATGTTAAACATGTAGAATGTTTTAATTTTGAATTGTTTCATTTTCTTTCCTTCTTTTTTATAACAAAAAAAACCTTGAAAAATCGTCCATATTTAAACATCATTTAATAATAATATACAAAGTACACGATAACGTGTAACATTTGCGCGATAACCCATAGCTCGTCATTTTTGTTTTACATTCCTACATACTAATAACATGTTTACATAGTAAATTTAATTTAATTTTTGTGTGTGTGTAAAATGTTATGCAAAACAGATAATAACAAGTGATTGTTTTAATGTTAAGAAAATAAAACAATGTATAGTTTCATAGTTAGTATGAATAATTAGTTAATTATGTAATTTTATTATTAAAATACTTTAGTTACAAGTAATCAGGAAATGTGTCAAATGAAATAACTTTAACACTGTTGGATGCCGGCCCAGTGGTCTATCGGTTAAGCGCTAGCGCACGAGACTGATGAGTCCTGGGTTCGAATCCCGTTAGGTGGGATCGTGGATGCGGACTGCTGAGGAGTCCTACAATAAAATGAAACGGTCGTCCAGTTCTTCCAGATTTTCCATGGTTGTCTAGCTCCAATTGATTCATGATCTCAACTACTAAAAAGAAAATACTTACATGCAAGTAATAATAATAAGAATTATAGTTTTAACATCTAAAACATGTTGCGTTGATTTTATAGGTAGATTCTCCAGTTGAATTCGAAACCTGATAGCATGTTTGTTAAATGTATAAAAGCATGGAGTTACATGTAATCAGTAGTAATTTCTATTTATGAATACATGATAAACCAATAGTCTAACACTATATTACTATTCTTTATTACCTGACGAAATTTTAAAAAAAATTGGTACTTTCCTGTTCTTGGAACTTCATGGCAATAACTATAGAACATTACTTCATCAGATAACTACTGAAATGATACTTACTTCTTTTTATTTAGATGAATAGAGCAGGTGTTTCAAGATGGAAACGTTCACTTGATTGTCAAAATACATTTTGTCTCATTTAAGTTCTTTTGCTACAACATGTTAGTATACTCGTGGAAAAAAACTAAGATTAAACAATAAAATCGATTAAAAATCTATGGTTCACGGAGCTCACGTTGTCTGGTTGACGTCATTACAGCAGTATAGACAACTTTTATTTTCGTATATGAACATCTCAACTATTATTAACAACTAGCTTTAAATGGTGGTCTCTGAGATTGACTTATATTGTATTTCCAATTTCAAAGTACACCCCATTATTATGAACGTTCATCCTAACCTGATAATACAAGATTTAAATACTCTGTAGCTAATTAAACAGCAAAAGGAAGGCAATTTTTAGATTAAAAGCCCAGAACAAAGTCAAACTATTCTTTCAGAGTTTATTTTTTCGGAATGCGACCGTCGATAAAGTTAGTGAAGCTTGAAAAAAGTGGATAAAATTACATCCTGACTCCTGAACAGGAATGGTTCCGAAGTTAGACGCTCACGCGCGTGACCGAAGGTACTGAGTTCGAGCCACACGTGTGGAGTCATGAATGAGCACTTTTGAGGAATCCTATATTAGGACAAAAAAGCCGTCCAGTGGTTCCAGGTTTTCAATTGTGATATAGCTTACATTGGCTCAAGAATTCAACTATTAACACTTCAACAATTTCCACAAATCTCCATTCTGAACAATACCCATATTGATTGTTTTATCTCTTCTTAACAATGGAATGGTACTATTTAACTTCAAACTTAACTTCTGTTGCTTTTTCTTGTGTGTGTTATAATTCTATAACAGATTGACTACATTTTAGCTCTTTTACTGAAATTGATCATATTTATTAAATTCAACAGTTCGACTGTTATTCCCTATTCAAACAAATGTTTATTTTGTTAAAACAAATTAATCAGTCTATGTTATTCTATTCCTTGTTTAAATGAATTAAATGATAATTTGCATAGAGAGAAAAGAACTATATTCTCTTTCACTTTTCAAACATTATAGATTATTAATAGCTAACAAAGAGTTAGAGAAGCAAAGCTAAATCATGCTACTTTGCTACAAACATTGTTCTTACTCTCTACCCGAAGTTTATGCTGATGATGTCGTTCAGAAGGACGATGAAAGCTTCACGACCAAACCATCCAGCACAGAGAACAAAACTCCATCAAAATCTTACTCTTTTGAAGATCGTTATGAAGCATTTTTATTTGTTATATCGGGTTTGCGTCAACAACTATAATTTGACTAGAAACCACTAGCAACTTAAAGTTAACAAGAGTACTGTAAACAATTTATTTGTGTAACATTGGTGTAATATTTTTCTATACATGACTTAATAAACCTTATTATTATAAGCAGAGATGGATAATGGCTAGTAATGGAATCAAGGACGCGCGTTTCGTTCAATTTGGGACTCATCAGCTAGATGTGCCTCCATCTCAGAGTTGATGTTCACTCTGGGACTCGAACCCAGTACCCTCGCTTCAAACACCATCGCGTCATCCACTCGGCCACTGAGTCCTGATAGCCATTTACTTGTGCGATGGGGTGAAGATGAAATTCATTTAATATTGTTTGTTTGAATCTTCCCATCGATGTGTTAGAACTGCAACTGGTCAGTCTCTCCATCTCTGAGATGGTGGAGAAGATTTATAGCTCAGGTGAGTGATTTTGATGTTGGTTTGTTCTCTCCATCTCTGCTTAACATGCTAGTGAATTAAGGCTATATCGAGACAATACACACAGTATGCACATATGCAAATTAGAGACTGACCAGTTGCAGTCCTAAAAAGATCAATGGGAAGATTCAAACAAACAATACTAAATGAACTTATTATTATAGCTGTAAACTAACTTTACCATAAAAACTAGTTTGATGGTACATATTTTGAGAGAGAAAATCATAGAGTCAGTAACTGATCCATTCATTTATCAATCTCATCATTCGTCAATTGGCTTAATATTTATGACTATCACTACTTCATTAACAATAGAAATAGTAGTTGCATACCCTACCCCCCCTCATCAACAACTTGCTTAAATAGTAGTCATGTTTATGTAATTCACCTGTCCTTTTATTACATCAGGGGACATAATATTCACTTTTTTTATAATTTCTTTAAAATACCCACATATTTCCCCATCTTCAATTTTGTTTGTTATCACTAGTAAAACACTTTAAATGAATCACAAATGAAATTTGTACATTTTTATTATCAGACAAAATGTGTGATTCGAAAATAGAATGTTTCTTCCTAACCGTTTCTTTTTTTTCAAAAAAAAAACAAACTCATAGTAGTATGTCTGATCGTGAAATTTTCTAGACCAGTAGGAGAGATTTTTATGGTTTGCAAATTTTTGAAAAGGGATAATTACATAATCAGTGGAACTCTTTCAATTAACCTACATATATATATCTTCCAACTTATGCGAAATGATTCCTGAAACCGATCAGTATTTTCACACCACAAGATCATCATTCAATAATGAACCGACTAAAGTAATAGGGAATTCAAGACAATCACCTCCAAAATTGCATCCTATAGAAAGTAAGTATAATTATAGTAATTTAATAGTTGAATTCATGAGTCAATTGAAGCTAGACTACCATGAAAAACCTGGAAAAAATGGCGGTTTAGTTCTTCCAGGTTTTTTATGGTGATCTAACTTCAATCAACTCATGAATTCAAATATTAATTCATAAGTAATTATTTATGTTAAGTTGAATTGTTTCCAGTTAAAAATATATTGAATTTCTATTTTAGTTCACTGAGTATTGTTTGTATGAATATTCAGATTGATGTTTAGGACAGCTGTTTGTCAGTCTCTTATTGGCATATGTGCATACTATGTATATTGCCTCGATATAGCCTTATTTCACAAGCATTATAGTGGCTAGTAGCAGATTGCAGGATTTGCGTTTCGTCCTATTTGAGACATGTCAGCTGGATGTACTTGCATCTCAGAATTGATGTTCACTCTGAGACTCGATCCCAGTACCTTTCGCTTCAAACGCCATCGCGTTATCCACTCAGCTACTGAGTCCTGATAGCCACTTGTTTGTGTAATGGTGTGAAGTTTAAATTCACTTAGTATTGTTTGTTAGAATCTTCCCATTGATGTTTAGGACTGCAATTGACCGATCTCTTATTGGCAAATAGGACGAAACGTGCGTTCTGGATTCCACTGCTAGCCAATATCTATCTTTGCTTATATTCCATTTTTTTGTTTGAAAACGGTCAGATTTCTAAAGTGGATATGATCTCATCACAGAATATAACTTCTAGTGAGGTGATAATTCAAAATGTGTACAATGTACAATGGTTTCTAAAACACAATAACATGAATAAAACTAAGACCTTCTTTCCACTATTATCTAACCTAGTTTGATTTATGAATCAATGTGTCACAATACAACTTAATTGATAGGATTTGATCAGTACTAAAAGACTAGTAAAATATGACATTGATCAATACTCTATGATCCATCATTTGAAAACATTCTATTCAAATTGGAGGTCAGTCGCAACCTAGATAGTTTAATGATAACATTTCTAACTCGGAAGCAAGATGATGTAAGTTCAAACTTTACACAGAATGCAAATTGTCCCAAAATCACAGCAACTCTCATACTGATAATTCTCAACTAGAGAAGAACTCTGGCCCAGGGTTTACCATTGACTACCTCAAACTACCTAATATAAATATCCATACTATAAAATATTAGTAGACACTTAAGTTACTTTAAACAAGTCATTGATGAATAAAGTACCTAATTGCAGCAGGATTCCACTGCTAGCCATTATCCATCTTTGCTTACTGATAACCAAGGTTGTGATACTAGATTACGTAATATGAGTAATAACAATAGATTTAGTGAATATAATAAGATGACTAAAATGTTTTGGTTACAATAATTAAAGGTCATAGAAGTGTAAAATAAATAAATAAGGTGATATGATGAGTATTCATGAATAAAATAATGAGAATATAATACATAAGTAAAGGGGAAATGGAGTAATAATAATAATAATAAAGCCATGGTAACGATAATGATAAGACGTACTTCTTTTGTACGCATAGTTCTGGTTTGAGCTCATGGATGGTAAGAGCTTCAGCTATTTTTAGGAGTTGGATACGAGGAAATCTTGGTAGATTTGAATGAATCATATAAACAACCTTGAAGTCAGACTGTGGATCCGTAGAATGATTATAGTCGATTAGGTGTTCAAGTATAGAACTCCTAACTGCTTTCCTTTTACCCTTGTAGAACCAAACTGGGATATGTTCCCGTATCCGAGTTGAAAGCGAGCACTGGCTACGGCCGATTTTTAAGTTAAATTATTCAAAGTCAAACATGGGAATACCTTTAAAGTACTTGATTATAATAATAATTACATTATAACCTTAAGGTTTAATGATAAATTATTGAATATAAAATTATGCTCGTTTTAGACAACATTATCATTTACGGATGAATCAATCAGGTTCAGAATAACAAATCTTGGATACTGGTGTGAAATTCATTCATCTATTTGACTAAATAACCTTTTAGTATGTTAGCTGATGTCAGTTAGTGATGAAAACTCTAAATGTTTTCACCCTAATCATCAACGGTAAATCATAATTTTAATTCTATCCACTGGTTTATAATCTTGATTTAGTTCTAGTTGGTAGATGGACATTCTTGATATCACTATAGAGTCTCTGAAATGTCATCCATAAATTATATTCCCAACCTTTTTTTATAAGCAACTTTAACATGGTTAATGTGACAGTAAAAGACCAGTTTTTATCTGTGTATGCAAATCTTGGGAGTAAAAATCAACACCAGAAGGTGGATATATCCAGATGGCAGTCTTTAGCTAGGAAGAAACCTATTTTCTGAATTCTAATGTTAATCAAAATAGAACTTCAGTAAAATCATGAGTCCATTTGACTAGTGAAATCATCCTTTTCTAAACTTAATTTGAATAAAACCCTTGAGAATCATCAACTAGGATTATCATAAATAAATTTTTACTGCAGTTGTAAACTGATAACTATTCATTACATCCATTGATTTAGTACACATATGCGTTTCGTGTATATACCTTGAAATCTCAGTCAATCAGTCAGTTAGACAGACAGTCAGCTACAACGTAGGATCAGACCTTGAAATCTAAAAGTGTTTCTTTTTTCAAAAAAACATTTCACTTTTTAGTTATCTGTGAAAATTTCTTATTTTTCCTTCAAAATACAAAACTCTTGGACAAATTTATATTTCAGAAAGGAGTTTTGTGGAGATTTTAGTAATTTTATATAGTTGAAACCATGAGTCAATTGAAGCTAAACCACCATGGAAAACCTGTTGAGAGTTATCAACTCACTGAAGACAATGGTGAATGGTTGCTCAATTTCGTGGATTGATTGAAGTTAGATATTAACACCATTGGATGCCAGCTCAGTGGTCTAGTGGTTAAGCGCTCGCTCGCGAGACTGATAGGTCCTGGGTTCGAGTCTCGCTAGGCGAGATCGAGGATACGCAATGCTGAGGGGTCAAGTGCTTCCAGGTTTTCCATGGTGTTCTAGCCTCAAGTGACTCATGTTTTCAATCATATAAAATTTATATTTGTAATAAATTTCATTTGTTATTAAACTGTTCACTATCAAAAAACTTCATTATTCAATTAACATTAGAGTATTCCAAATGGAAATTAAATCTTCAGAATATGGAGAAGATTTATATTTTAGGTGGATAGATTTGATGGAGTTTTGCTCTGTTAGCTGCATTGTTTGGTTTTGGAGCTTTCATCGTTCTTCTGAACAACATCATCAGCACAAACATCAGATAGACGTGAGGTGTTCGAATTTTGCTTCTACCTGAAGTTTGTGCTGAAGATGTCATTCAGGAGAATAATGAATCATAACTAACTCTTCAGTAATCGATAATCTGATTTCAAATTAATTCCATCCCTTGTTTAGTTTGTAGACTCCTGAATAATTTTCAAGCAAATAACTAGTAACAATTCGAATCTGTTAATTTTAAATCATCAGTATGGGGTTGTGGAGATTATTAAGTTTTTGATTGAGATCATGAACCGAATGATGTTAGACCATCGTTGAAAATTTTGAAGCAATAGACGGACGTTTCGTCCTGTTGTGAGACTCCTCAGCAGTATGCGTTCCGACCCCGCTCGATGGATTCGAACGCGGGACCTTCTGTTTCGTGCGCGAACGCTTAAACTTCAGACCACAGAGACGACATAATAACACGAAACGGCTGTATAGTGCTTCCAGGTTTTTAATGGTGGTCTAACATCAATCAATTCATGATCTCAATCAAAAATTTCAAATCAGTTAGTTTAAATTTTAATACTGGAAACAACAGTAGGAAAAACTTATATGTTGTTTGATAAAGGTAATTGATCATTATGTTTATGAATTAAAACGACTATTTATGTTTCTTGACAGATCAATATGTTTCTTTATTTATTAGGTCAAACTAATACTTATACTATATTGCATTATAAGTGTATTATCCAAAATCTGTTAATTAATCAGAAGGGGTTTCTGTGGAGATTTCAGTATTTTCATAGTTGAAATTATGAAGCTAGACAATCATGGAAAACCTGAAAGCACTGGAGGCCGTTTCGTCCTATTATGGGACTCCTCAGCAGTGCGCATTCACGACAATGCCTCACGAGATTCGAACCCAGGACCTACCAGTCTCAATGTTTTAGTTCTTAGATTAACCAAATGGAACGAATTAAGTGAAATCACAAAATAAGTAAGTTATTAAAATCCACAAGTCTCAATTTTAGGAACATTCATAAAAACTACTAGTCTGTGTTTCAAAGTATCCATAACAGTGAAGGATAAAATCTCTCAGAGATATCCATAGTACAAACAATCTGTATCACCTTTTTCATTGTTTTTACCATACTTCTTGTAGGTTGGTTGCTTAATATTCTTGGAATTCATATAGACTAATCACTAAGCAATGATCAATGTCATATTTATCAATTCCTTAGCATAGGTCGAAGTCAATCGATCAGTAGTGAAAGTAATTAAACATTGTGCTCATCATGTTATAATGTAAGCCAGTTGAAGGTATTCATCATGAAATCCTAAACCTAGGTTTCACTTACAGTTGGGACTCTTTAGCAAGGTATATATTTAGTAAGCAGTTATACGAACAAACAAAAAGGAATGAGAAGTAAAGTGTTCACAAACTGATGTTCTACAATAGTTCAGCAGGTTTCAATATACATTACTGGCTCCTCATTAAACTGATTAGAATAGAATAAATACCTTTTCGACAACAACTTCAATAACATACGTGAATTTATCTGTACTTGTAGTAGCAAATATCTTATTAATACTGCGAGTAGGGTGTCTATAAGTGCCTTTTTTTCTATATGTATTTAGGATGTTTCTCGAAATGGGTGTTTTCAGGGAAGTAAATAATTCACAAATGAGATCACAATAAATTGAATGAATAATGAACATTGGATAAACATCAAAAAGGTATTCAAAATGATTCAGAAGCACAGAACTCTGTTTTCAC